GGTGTCTCTCTGGTTAAATAAAAGTTAAATGAATTAACAAATAAATTAAAAAAGACTTGCTAGGTAGTAAGCTAACAAGGCAAATAACTTAGCAGTAAGACACAGACTGTTATACCTAAACATACATTTTAAAAGCTGTTTTTTTAAATAAAAGTAGCCTTGTAGTCTAGAACATGGTAGTTAACTTGGCATTCCATTACTATCACGTACAGTTGTAAATTACTTCACACATTTCCAAACTAAATATCAGGCTTCCGCAGGAAGTATTTTATGAAAGTCGCTGTCGCCATAGGTGGAGCACACCAAGTGTACAATTAGGAGAGGGGGGTTCGCACACATGTTTTCCTTAACACATGTAAAATGATTGAAAATAAATAGTAAAGGACAATCGACATATCCGTCAACTATGCTGATAAAAGGAGGACATATATTTAACATATTTATTACTGTATATTGGGGTGGAAGGGGGGGGCATATTTGTATTTTCTGGTATGGGGGACACACCAACCCCCACATTATGCATGGTTACGCCCATTTATACGGCATTATATTTTATAATGTTATAATAATACAGTATAATAAATTCGGTCAGTGTTAACTACCATTTTTAAAGTGTTTGAGTTCTTGCAGTCCCACCAGCAGATGGGAGAATATTTGTTTCACTATTATCTCTGTCTAACTAGCCCCGCCTTCTTCCTTCGACCAATAGTGTGTCAGATAGGTTTGGAGTCTCGACCAATAGAGTGTCAGCTAGGTTTGGAGTCTCCTTTGCCGCTAAAATTGAAGTATTCATGGTTTACGGGGCGTTTGCAGTCTGCTTATTTTGTGATAATTCCTGATGTTGTGCTTCTAATAGAAGTTCTATCAATATTTTTCAATAGACGGGTAACTATCTCTGCATCTTTTGCTAATAGCGGCTGTTATATTGTTGAGGCCATGTGTTTATAATACGTTTTAAACGGATGTACTTGACTTAGCTCGATCGTGTAGTGAGCAGTCACTGCAGCTATGGTAACTAACCAATATAAAGTCCATTAATGGCTAGTTTACAGTTGAGTAGCGGTGGTTTATGACAAATATGAAAAAGGTTTTTAAGACATTCAGCAGTCTTGCCGGGTGTTTCTGTATTTGTGCTATGCTAAAATTGTGTTAATACTGCTAGTTTATGTTATTTGTTTTTTAGATTCCTCAACGCGTCTGGTAGCTAACGTTACTTTTTCGACTTAAACCTGGCGTGTTGATGTTGAGATGTGTCTTTTGATGGGACATCCTGACTTTTATCATGTTACTTGCTTAACCAGGCAGTCCTAACCCACTAGAAGGACCATGCTCCCTGGACTCCCTTTAGTGGGCTCCCATTGATGCATCTCACTGTCAAAACACTCTCTGTAATTACCTAGCTAGTAATTATTTTCGAAATGTCATTATAATGTGTAGGCAAAAATATTTTGTATTATTTTAAATGTATTGTTTTGCATCTGTCGTTGCACATTAAGGTTTGCATCTGTATCAAAACAAATGGGGATCCAAGGTCTGTTGCAGTTTCTCAAAGATGCCTCAGAGCCCATAAGTGTGAAGAAGTACAAGGGACAAACAGTGGCTGTAGACACATACTGCTGGCTTCATAAGGGGGCTTTTTCTTGTGCAGAGAAGCTTGCCAAAGGGGAGCCAACTGACCAGTAAGTTTAGTATTGTATAGACATCTGTGTCTACGCTATACCTGTTTTATTCTAACTACCCCAACCTACTTCATTTTCCTTCTCCAAGGTATGTGACGTACTGCATGAAATTTGTGGACATGCTGCTGTCTTTTGGTGTGAAGCCCATCTTGGTGTTTGATGGTTGTAATCTGCCTTCAAAACACGAGGTGGAGAAATCTCGCAGAGAGTAAGTGTGTTTATTGTAATGTATTCCCCTTTAAATACAATAAAATGACTCTGTGTACTGGTCTCCAATGGTACTTCTAGTAGAAAAAACATTAACATTTAACCGAAACAGTGTGACATGATATTTGTCTTCAAGGCGTCGTCAGGCAAATCTGCAGAAAGGCAAGCAGCTCTTACGTGAGGGAAAGATTTCAGAGGCCAGAGACTGCTTCACCCGCAGTGTAAACGTCACCCCATCCATGGCTCATGATGTTATCAAGGCAAGGTCTCCCAATCCCATTAAAACTGCTGACTAGATCTATTGCTTGAAGCCTGTGCTGTATAAATATCCTGAATAAAGCTTGTCCTTATGCTGGTTTTGAGCTGTGGTTAAGTCTGGCTTAATCTGGTTGCATATCATCGGCTCCAGAATGTGTAATCAGCTGTAACAATGAGTTATTTCCCGTCCTTTAGGCAGCAAGGACCAGAGGTGTGGACTGTGTGGTGGCCCCGTATGAAGCTGACGCACAGCTGGCTTTCCTTAACAAGGCTGGCATTGCACAGGCTGTCATTACCGAGGACTCTGACTTACTGGCGTTTGGCTGCAAAAAAGTACTTAAAGTCTTTAAAGATGGTGCTCGAATTTGTGTAATGTATTTCTCAGTCGGTCATTCAGCTTTAATGGCACATCAATCATCGTACCGCAGTAGCACCAGGCTTGCAAATTTGACAAATAACTGTACTTCTTTTGTATTAGAAAAGGGAATAATAATAATGCGAATGTTTAAATATTTGTATTTTATTTATACAGGGCAAACCAGAGACGATGTCCAATTTACCCCGGTGTTCTGTCCATATGTGTGTTTTCCTTATCACTTTTTTCAGGTTATCCTGAAGATGGATAAACAGGGAAATGGTCTGGAGATTGACCAGAACAACTTGGGACGGTGCCGCTCCCTGGGTGATGTCTTCACAGAGGAAAAGTTCCGACACATGTGTATTCTATCTGGTTGTGACTACCTGGCTTCCATCCATGGAATTGGTTTGGGTAAAGCCTGTAAGCTGCTGAAGATTGCAAACAACCCCGACATCCTTTGGGTAAAATTGAACACATTTTTCTTGTGGAAATTGCACAGTGGTAGATATTTACCTAGAATAGAAATAACTTGCCTATGCACTTTCAGGTGATCAGGAAGATTGGCCAGTATCTGAAGATGAATGTGGTTGTGCCTGACGAGTACATTGAGGGTTTTGTTAAGGCCAATCAAACCTTCCTCTACCAGCTAGTGTTTGACCCCATTAGGAGAAAAGTGGTGCCTCTCAACCCCTATCCTGAGCACCTCGACCCTGCTACCCTCAGCTATGCTGGCCGGTATCCTTTCACTTAGTGGCATATTCCATTTAATTGTTAGTCTCTTAGCTGACGCACTATTTCAGTGCTACTTGGAGCGCTCTTGTTCAGATTGTTATTTACCCTGGAGCGCAAATGTTAATGTGTGTTTTCCTTTAAAGTACTGTAGTTATCATTAAAGTTAGTGCTTTGGCAGGATGACTAATTTCAACATGTACACGTAGATTGGTATTGCTGATTGTGGGTTGATTAAACCTGCTTTTTTGTAGTGATGGCGGGTGGGTAAGGTAAAAAAAATAGTGTGAAGGAAGGGTCTATTTGTGGCAGGCGGCATAATGACAAATTATTTGTGAATGAGGACAAATTGGGCAAATCTGTCATTCAGGTGGTATGAACCACTGTTTGCTCTAAAACATTATTGGCAGTTTCTGCTGTGTGTAATCATTAAACTGTAATGGGTATAAATTAAATTGATTGGACAGGAGCACTCTATCCCCTCAATTCCCTTGGCACAAACATTGTTTAGGATTTCATGTGGATATTGTTTTAGTTATCAATCTTGTTATATTTGGTTATTTTATTTTTTTCTGTTTGCTTCTTAATTATGTCTGTTGTCATGGAGTGAGCAAAGCAATATTTTAGAAGAACATTTTAAGCACAATAACTGGAAGTTAGTTGATTGCATGCTTGCAGATTCCGTAGTCTGTCAGTGATCATTCACAACAACAAGTGAAATGTGTTGTCCATAACGAAATCATCCAGTAATGTAGGAGACTGTAAAGGTTTACAGATGGCTCTGGGAAACTTGGATATTAACACCATGGAGAGGATTGATGACTTCAACCCAGATTCTGCAAATCCAAAGGTACATACGCTAACATATTTATTATCACAGTTAGCTATTTTAGAAGGTAGAAGTTGCTTTTGTTTACTACAATTTACCCACCCCAAAGTCTTTGTCAAAACTTGGTAATGTGTTTCTGAATGATGTTGCAATGAGGTGTAGGTTGTTTTGAAGTTCAGTGATATTTAGTGGAGATTATGTATGTGTACAATGTGTATTTGTTGCATGCAATGCGTTATGGGTATATCAGAGACAATAATGCATTTTAAGTTGTTAATTCATATGAATCTGCACAAAGAACTGTGATTGAATTTGTAGTTGTTTATCTTGTATTGCTGTTACTTTCAGAAAGTTGACATCCCATATGGTAATAGTTATCTGGGGTGAGCATTTTACGTTCCTCCATTCTTTGATCCTGAGAATCCAATTTCCAAATGTGTGTTTGTATGGTGCAGAAAAGGATATGTCATTATACTTGCAAGGTGTGTTTGTATGGTGCAGAAAAGGACATGTCATTATACTTGAATTTTAATTAATACCCGAATCAACAAATAATAAAATGCTAAAAGTGTGCTTACAAACAAAACATACAAAAAATACAGATGACACTGTTTTTTGTCTGTAAAGGAATATGGAGGTGAAAAACGTGCATACCCATACAAACTCTGTCAAATCAAATGTGATTGATATAATATGGGTCTGTTTGCAGTCTCGTTATCGTCCTGCAGTGGGCAGTCTTGAGTCAATGCCTGTCCAGTCACTTACTGACTAAATGGCCATAACTGTCAATACTGTTGTATACACATATTTGTGTGTAATGTACAACTACGTTTACATATTGTTTACCGATATTTGATTTATGTTGTCTACTATGTGCCGAACCATTGAAACACCACATAATATTAGTGATGGATGTACATAAGAGGAGTTGTACATATTGGAGACGGTTTCTCAGTGGTAGTGTGCATGCTTTGTGTATATGATGTCCTGGGTTCAATCCCCAGTTCGCCGTTGCAAATGAGAATTTGTTCTCAATCGGCCTTCCTGGTTAATTAAAGGTAAAATAAACATAAATACTAAATGATTATGACTGAAAATGCACGAGAAGAAACAGTAATCCATTCCATTAATGCTTAAATGCAAAACTACCACAAAGAATGTGTTGCTGTATTTGAGTCCACTTGGTTGGAGCTATAATTATGGTATGCACATGCCAGGAAAAGCTCCTACCTCAAAGACAGTTCCCCATGTCGACCTGATCAGTGAGTATTGTGTGCATGCCACTGGAAGATATTTGGCTGAACAATATTTGTCTTGTTCTTGGCAGTGCATTTGACCTGCATACGCGTTCTGTCATGCGCATTCTGTCACAGTGGTGTCTAGTTCTGTTATTAGAGAATATTGGTTACTTAAACACAGCACAACCGACAAACTCCCTCCAAATGTCACCTATTTTACTGACAAACGGCCTTTGTCTTTGTTCAATTGATATCGTCATATTAATTTCATCTTAAGTGTGATTGTCACAAGTGCTTAACCTGTCCTGACTCCTGGTTTGTAGGTTCTAAATGTTTATGTCAACCACAAGGAATTCCCTTGAGGCACTGATTATTTCAAATTACGTCTACCTTTTACGTCATCCCTTTGTTTCTCTTAGCCAGTCAAACCTCGCAGTCGTGGCTGGAATGATCGCAGTGAGAAGCAGGCCTCCAATCACCTCAGTATCTGGAGCAGAGGTTACACCCCAGGTAGCCTCATAGGCGCCCAGCCTGTGGATTCTCCAGAGAGACCTCCCACCACCAGGGGGAAGGAGAGGGTTGTCAGCCTGCAGGGACTAAGGCTTCCCCACAGGGAATCACAGGTTAAAAGACCCAGAGAAGGTGAGATTACTAAGATTTGTCTTTGTTGATCCTCTGTCTCACATTTGGGAGTTGGTTTTTCGTTCACTATAGAAAGTATTTTTTGAAAACCATCGCTGTCTGAAATGGTAGATTTGGGTTTGTTCAGGGCCGACCAGTTTAATTGTCATAACAGTCCGGTTCAGTTTGTGAGGTTTTTACAGGCAGTCTGTAGTAAAACAGTTAATGTATCACATTTTGAAGCTCCATCCAATGTTACATTCATATAGAATTTAGAAAAAAGTCAGAGCTTAATCTGTTTTCCTGATGATTAATGAATACATACATACTCATACATTTTCCTTGTATTTTGAACACTTTTTTGTCTCTCGAAGACTCCGTTGTTTCTGATCAGGACGTCCTGCTGCAGTACTCCAGTGAGAAGAGGCCCAGAGGAGATGTGGTCCCTGGCCCCAAAGAGAGCCAGCCCAGCTCCCCTGCTACCCATCAGAGACCACGCAACCGCTTTGCCACCCTGCTACAGAGGAGGAACCAGGAGGAGGTTGAAGATGGGCAGGCCACACGAAGCAGGTGAGCTCTTACAGCACAGTCTTTCATTATTTTCAACTGCCATTATTTTATTGGAATATTTAGGCTTTAGTGGCCTAGTATGTTTGGTTGTCATTCTGATCACATTTCTTGATTCTCATTTGACATTTAATTTCTTCCTACAATGTTTAGAATTGTATCAGTTGACTTAACATTCATGGTATGTTGACCCCTGTAGGTTCTTCTGTAGTGGCAGCATCTCCAGTGAGGAGGCCGGCCTTAACTCTGAATCATTAGTCAAGGAGGAGGAGTCTCAGGTGGTGACAGAGGACCCTGTTGAGAAATCTTGTTCTGGGGGTCTTACAGAGACAGGAGAGGAGCTGGAAGAGAAGCCTTCTAGCCAAACCCCCTCCCTTTCACCATCCCCTGTTTTTGCCAGTCAAGGGCTAGGGGTGTTTCGCTGGTCAGCCAGCTCCCAGGTGAGATCCAGGGCCCCAGCTCCCACATCCGCCCCCTTGTCCCTACGGCAGTTCCAGCGCAAGAAGGAAAGCTTCTCTTGGAGCCAGGAAGACCAGAGGTCTAAGGAGACACCCAGAGCCCCAGACCCCAAAGATGAAGACCAGGATACACCCCCAGACTCTCCCCCCTCTCAAGATAGTGCGTACTTCTCTCAGCCTAACCACCTATCATGCGGTGTAAAGGAAGCGTCTACGCCCACACGCCTGGAGAATGATTTCACACCGGAACACCACAATTTCCTCTGCACTTTAGTAAGGCGAAAGCGTCATGATTTTAGATATTTCTTTAGGCGGTGGCGTTGTGATGTTGACTTCACTTACTATTGTCTGCTGTTTTCTAAGGACATTAATTCAAGCAAGGATTCAGACTCTGGCGAAAGTCTCAGATGCTCTCCGGTGTTGGACGACCAGAAACCCAGCCCAATAAGACCTAAGGTAGCTGAGTATGTTAGGACTATGTTCAATGTTCTCGGTGTAATAGACTTAATAACATGGCGTCGCTCCACAGCCAACTTGTATACCCTCGGTGAATACTCGTTTTTCCCTTTCTCAGCAGGTGGCAGGCCTGCCACGGACGAGGCCTGGTGACCAAGGAAAAGGGACAAAGATCCGACCCTCTGCACCAGCCAGGGCCAGCGGGCTCCGTAAAAAGCCTTCAGGTCCTGGAAAGAAACGTCCTAGCAACAATGAGAACAACCCTGGCCTCCAGGCCACTATCAGTGGGCTCTGGAAGAACTTTTGTTTTAAGAAGTAAGTTGGGCCAATCCTAAGCATGGGGCTCATCAAGTCTGGAGATCAGGAGGGAACTGCTTCTGAAATGTACTTAGTTAACGTGGATAATACGCTTTGTTTAGTTAGTGGCTCATGTTAAACTATTATTGTTATATTTTCACAGATTTAGACAATGTGAAATTGAATGAGAAGCTGATTGGCTTATGTTAGATTAAGCTGCTTTTCATAGAGTGCGTTGTTAAGACATGGATGAGACCTATTTGCAGGAACTTATCTTTTATTTGCCTTTTATGGGTTTCTAAAATCAGAGAAATACACATCACATAGATTGACCTAATAGCATTGTCCCAAGAATGGCATGTGAACAATACAGACTTCCGTTGAATTGCAGGTGATATGCTGCAGAATGTGAAGACGGCAGGTGAAACGCATAACTCATTCATTGTGCTGCAGAACCCGAATTATGGCATTTGTGTGGGCTATGTGGGTCTTTTGGAGGTTGCCGAGTTCTCATTTATAGAGCAGCATATTTCCCAATGCTTAAGACATTCATTTGACCTACTACCTATTTGAACTACTACTTTTTAGTGAAGTCTCAATAATTAGTTAAGTGAGCAACGTCACAGAAAGTCAAATAAATAAATGTTTCATGCATTCTTGTCATATTGTATCACCCCTGTTTAATTCTACTATATAACACCTACAGTATAGGGTCTTCTCCCCTTCTTGGGTTGTTTTGTAGTATTTTATCCCTTGACATTAAATGTTTTTTACAGGCTTAAAGGGATGTTTTTGACCATGTATGGGCAATTTGGGACATTTTAAAACACAAATAGCCAAGTTTGTGAATGACTACTGACACTAAGAATGATGGGTATTTATCAACAGTGATCAGTGAAGTATGCAACCTCTCAACATTCCTCACATGTGTAAATATTTAGGATTGTGTTCGATGATTGGTTAGTCATTTTTAAACATGTCAATTTTCTACCTGTAGATACACCATCAATTTATTAAATGCCAGGGGTCCTTGTAACTTTCAAAAGTCAGCAATTTTAAAACGTAGACCCTCAATGTTCTGTAGACATCATGAAAATCGGCTTAGGTAAAATCTGAGTGCTCCCAATTTGGTTTCATGGGGTAGATACCATTGTCTTAATTCCACATGAACAAAAGTGCCTAAAAACAGCTTTTGGTTATATTATATCACCCCTGGTTTATTATAGATTATAAAATCAGGTACTACACATCAGCCATTTCTAATAAGTTGAGCCATTTTTGTTAATGTAATGAGCCGTATTCTAAGGTCTGGTGTGTGACTATATGCTTATGTTAACACGTCTGATTCTGCCCATTATATTTAGGTGGTGCTGTGCAAATTGTCAAGAGAAATTCTTTAATTGTAACATTAATAGTTGGTGAGCAGCAATGCAGTACTTGTACTGTGCCTCAGGCACGCATCACAACGGTACATACCTGGGACTTGGTTAGCCATGACTGTATGATTCATTCATGCAAGTTGGCCCTGTTACTTCCTTAATCAGAGGATTGTCATGTTTTGTTTTCAAGGGTATACAAGATCTTCATCTTGTAACCATGCATTTCTTGTGACATACTTTAAATGGCAACAAAATCTAGTATGTTTGTTGTCTTTGTTTTAGAGAAAATCCAAAGATAAACCCCATTAAGAAGGGAGAACCGATGTCACCAGTGAAAGACAACATTCAAGACGTCACATCTGAAGAAAAGGACATTAACGTAAACCCCAGTGTTCAGAAAACATTATGCCTCTGACACCTTTTTTATACATTCATAAGCGTAGCACCTTGTGAAAGTCTCTGATTTCTGACATACTGTGTATGTTTATGCAATGTGCACTACTATGGAGTTAATGTAAAAGCATCTTGTAAATTGATTTTAGTTTGAATAAATGTAACTTTGTAAGAAGACATTTGGGATCTGTGTTCATTTAAAGTATTTTGAGTGAATCTTACATAGTGTAGACGATAAACCTGGAAATTAATGCATTTGTTAAATTGATAATTGTTAATAGACCGTAATTTGTTCCTGTAAGAAACTCTTTGAAAGACCATGAAGTATGCGTAAACCTGTTAAAGCTAGCATCTGCTGATGATTCAACTCAAAACGATGCAAACTACCCTTTCTGTTCTGACCAAAAGCTGTCAGATTGGATATCGAAATGTTCATTTTAACCAAGTTGTGAGGATAAACTGTTTGTTTCCAGATATGTTGCAATGGTTTTAATTTGGGATTTGTATAGGTAGAGTACAGCTAGGAGTTAAACTCAGCACAGACAGGCGAGTCCAGACAGGCTTATGGAGAATGACACCGAAGGAAAACACGTTAACATTGCTCGAA